GCCCTGCTTCTGCTAAGAGTGGTGGTAGGGTCCAGCCTGAATGTTCATTTGCCCCAAGTGAAACACCCTCCCATCTTAGCATGGTGCGCTTAGGGACATTTATTTTTCCTTCTTGGGTCTACTGGTCCCTTTGAGTTATACAGTACAGTTATATGCATTGTTGTTGTCTTGTACCTTTACTTGACAGGTCTTGTTTCTCCTGTTTTGCTCTTGTCCCTGCCCTGCCTTGAATCGCTGCTCTCCTACCCATTTACAAACATTTTTTTTGATTTTATCATTTTATCCTATTTTTTCTTCTGCATATTCCCTCTGTCCTACAATTCCCATATTCCCTACACCTTACGCCCCTTTCTTCCTATTTCACATTGTCAACTTTGTCATTAAGAGAAATTATGTACTATTAGAGTTTATTCACACCAGAGAAACTATTTGGTGTTTACCGAGCCCACACCCCGGCGCCCACCGTCTTCCGGGGGGCCAGGTCCGCGGGCAGCGAGGGCTACGCACCCAGCAGCAGTCTCTGCTTGCAGGCAGTCCTGTGCCCGGGTTCTGAGGACAGCACGCCTGAGTGCGTTCATCCCTGCCTCAAGCCTACATCATCCCGTTTCAGGGATGAGGAAACTGAGGCCCAGAGAGGCTCAGGAGCACTTCAGGATCACACAGCTCTGACACATGCGCAGGCAGCTGAGCCCCGCCTGTCTGAGCTCACAACCTGCCCAAGCCCTGCTTGCTGCCAGGCATGGCTGGGGGCCAGGGGCAGACCTGTGGCAGCACAGGGGAGGAGGCTGGGGAGCAGCTCGCAGCTGTCAGGTGTCCAGGGGGCAGGGGTTGGCTAGAATCTTCGGGTTTCCTGCTCCTGTTTCCTGCCTCTCTGCCTGTGGGTTGGTGAGCCGGTGGGGAGGACCCTACAAGCCTGGGTGTGGCACAGGGTGAGGGCAGCCAGGGTCAGAAAGGTGGAGAGGGTAGGAAGAGGCAGGAGGCTGCAGCAGTTCGAGTGGCCGTGTCTGGGCATCGCCCAGTGCCCTGTCACGGTGGGCACAACCTTCACTGAGCTAAGATGATGGTATGGGGCGCAGTGTGGCGCAGGGTGGAGACCCACATCGGGCTGCCTGTTGAGATGGGCGTCACGGATGTGCTTGGTGCACAGTGAGCGTGCGGTGGGTGGAGGGTGGAGGAGGGGTGGGGATGTGGGTGGCAGATGGGCAGGTGGGGAGACAGCAGCAAGGCAAGTGATTGGCCGGTCCTAGGTCCAGGAAGCGAGGGCAGGAGGAAGGAAATAAGGAGGGAAGATGTTGAAAAGATACATGGATGGAAAACATGTTACTGGGCAGATGGATGGATGGGTAGATGGATAGATGGATAGTTAGATGATTCAAAGGATTTTCAGATGGATAGAAAGATGGATGGGTAGTTGTGTATGATGGCGCACACCCATGATCCCATTACTCTGGGAGGCTGAGGCAGGAAGATCCCAAGTTCGAGCCCAGCCTGGGTAATTTAGCAATTTAGTGAGACCCTGTTTCAGAATTAACTAACTAAATAAATGCCTGGAGATGTAGCTAAGTGCAAAGGCTCAATACCAGTACTGCAAAAAAGAAAAAAGAGGAAGATGGATGAATGGAAACAGAAGAAAAAGGAAAGGAGGAAAGAGAGAAAAAGGAAAAAGGAAGAGAGGCAGGCAGGGGAAGGGAGGGAGACAGAAAACAAACGGGGAGGAGCACGGGGGCCTCGGGGACAGCCGGGAAGGAGAGGCGCGCTAGTGATCGAGGCGGGGGTGGTGGGAGCGGAACCAGCACTCACAGCCCTCCAGGCAGTACTCCACCAGATAGCCGTCGATGCCGCCTGCCCCGATCCTGTCCGGCGGCCGCCACTTGAGCGTGGTGGTGGTGTCCGTCACGTCCTCCACCACCAGGTGCTGGGGCGCGCTCGTGGGTGCTGCAAGGAGGCGAGGAGGGTCAGAGACGGGCACCAGTGGGGACACAGTGAGGGCTGGGAGTCCATGAGCCAGCGTCCCCGAGGGACCCGCCAGGGAGACAGGCGTGGGTCAGAGCCAGCAACGGCAGAGCAGGGGCGCGCGGGCCTGGGCGTGGGGAGAGGTCCGGGCTCTACCGATCGGCATGAAGGGCTTGGTGTTCATGCTGGGCTGGGAGACGCCGATGGCATTGACCGCGAAGACCCGCATCTCGTAGAGGACGCCCTCGATCATCTTGGTGGCCTCGAAGGTCGTCTCCGTGAAGACCTCGAAGTTCAGCTTCATCCAGCGCTGAGAACCCTTCTTCTTCCGCTCCAGGAGGTACCCTGGGGACCCGAGCAGAGAGCAGCGCGCCACGGGGGTCGCAGGACCCTCGGGGTCCGAGGCTGTGGCCCTTAGGTTGCTGTGCAGGGTCACAGAGCTTCCCGGGGCTACTCCTGGAGACTGGGGGTCAAAGAGTAGGAGCTGGGAGGGTTGGGAGTCAGGGGGGCCCAGGGGTCGCAGAAAACCCCAGGCTATGGGGCAAAGTGCAAGGTATTCACAGGTCGCTGCAGAACAAATCAGGGTGGGGCAGGAGATTCGGCTCGGTGGGGCCGCCACCTGCCTCACAAGTGGAAGGGCCTGAGTTCGATCCCCAGTAGAAAGGAAGGGAAGATAGGGAGAGGCCCAGGGGATCTGGAGACTTCAAAGATGGAAACCCAACTTTCTTTCAGAGGGAGACCGGTAGGAGGCTGCAGACTTGAGAAGTCAGAGGCCCTCACCTGTGACTGGCTGCCCCCCATCGTACTTGGGCGGCTCCCAGACCAGGATGGCCCAGTCCTCTCCAACCGAGGTCACTCGCACAGCCTCCGGCGGGTCCGGGACATCTGGGGGCCGGGAGAGTCAGAAGCCCCCTCGAAGGCTCAGGGCCACCCTGGCTCAGCCCCTAACCCTCTGTGCTCACCCACAACCCGAAGGAAGATGGAGGCCACATCCTCGCCCGCGGGGTTGGCGACTCTGATGGTGTAGCGGCCCTCGTCCCCTCGCTCGGCGCTCTCGATCACGAAGCTGCTGCAGTCCACCCTCTGCTCAATGCGGACCCTGCCCTCGGTGGCCGAGAACACCTGCACAGGCGCCAGGTGCCCCCACTGCACTGGCCGTCCGGACCGCCCGCCCTGGCCCGCCCCACGCCTCCAGCGGTTCCCCACTGCCTCACAGGGAGCAGGGCCCTGGACTCAGCACAGAGGCCCCTCTCGGTCGACGCTCCGCCTCACTGTTCCTCTCCACTGCCCTCACCCTGCAGACACCATCTGCCATCTTGTCTCTGCGAGTGCCCAGGAGGTAAGGCCGTTCCCTGTGCGAGCAGCGCTGTACTCTTGGGTACCGTTAGCGCCCAGGACGGGCGGGTGGAGGGACGAATGGTTGAAGTGGAAGAATGAACGGGTGGCTAAGCAGACTGACACATTGCTGGGTGGACAGATGACTGGGTAGGTGGGTGGATGAGGATGGGTAACTGGGTTAAATGATGATAAATAGACAAGTGGATTAATTACCAGATGGACAGATGACTGCCGACTACGTGACTGGAAGGAGGGACAGGTGGATGGACGGATGGGTCAGCGGATCCCTGATTTAGTCAGCTTTGGGGTCAATGGTTATGGATAAAGCACCCACACCTGGTAATGGACTAATATAATCTCCAATTTAAAAAACAACCCAGTGGGCCGGGGATTTAGCTCAGTGGTTCCACCGCCTGCCTCACAAGCGCAGGGACCCGAGTTTGATCCCTGGTACCAAAAAATAAATAAATAAATAAAAATAATAAAAAATGAAAACTAACCCAGTGAAAAAGGAATCCTTGTCCTATCTCATCGAGCATGAAACTAAGACTCAGAGAGGGGACGCAGCTTGCTTAAAGTAACCCCGCAGCGACAGAGGGAGAGAAACTCAGGGGCCCAACCTACGTCGTCTCCCCTCAGCCAGGTGGCAACAGGAGGTGGCTCCCCCGTGATGGACACATCCAGCCTCAGCTTGTTTCCAGCCACAACCACGATGGAGTTATCAGAGGTCTTCCCAGAGCAGTCCAGGTGGATCTTGGGGGGCTCTGGAGGTCAGGAAGAGGCCCTGCCACGTTAGGTCCAAGGGTCTGTTCCCCAGCTCCTCCCTCAGGCGGCCCGGCCCAGCCCCAGGCCATGGGCGGCCCTCACCTTGCTTGGGGACGTACTCCACCTTGATTTCTGGAAGACCGAGGAGACCAGAGGTTAGGTCAAAGGCAGGCCTTCCCCACCTTCAAAACGCGGGGCACAGGTGAGCATCTAGCCATCTCCGTGGAACTGGGGAACCGGAGGCTCACGGCCGCGAGCGCCCCATTGCCTCGCGGACACCTCTGTCTTCCACTCGGACTCCATCCTCGAGCCCCAGACACCCTCCAGGCTACTTCCGCTCGCACGTTTAGGGACACTTAATGGCACAGGGAGGCGTCTCGGGGACCTGGGGCCTGGAAAGGTCCCCGGGGCAAAGGGAGGGGCAACTTTACCCAGGAAGTTGAGCTTGGCCGAGAGGGACAGCGCAAAGCCGTCGGGCACGAACGTGTAGTCTCCCTCATCCTCGGGGCGGACGTCATCGATCACCAGCTTGTGGAACCTGAAACGATGAGGATGAGGGTGAGGTAGGGCTTGGGCCAGGTCTGCCCCACACTGTCCCTCAGCACCCACTGGAGAAACACCACAGTGCTCAGCACAGCCTGCCTGCCGGTCCCTGTGGTGTGTTCTGAGGGTCTCACTGGGTAGCCCAGGTTGGCCTTGAAGTCTTGGCAATCCTCCTGCCTCAGCCTCCTGAGTGCTGGGACTGCAGGTGTGCACCACCACATCTGGCTAATCCCTGTCATTTTTAGTAGGGGCTCTGCCTGGGTTTGTATCTGTTTACCAGCTGTGCGACACTGGCAAGTTGCTGACCCTCTCTGGGCGTTTCTTTGTGAGTAATGATGACACTCCACCTGACCATTGGGGTCAGCATCTAGAGAAGTACCTGGCAAACAGTAGCAGCCGGACAGGCGTCGGGACTGGTTGTCACGGTGACTGACGCCACCATACCCTGGGACTTTCTTTGCCCTAGAACAATGCAGGGTGACACAGGGCCCTCTGCTGCTGCCTCCGGAAAAACCAGGACTCCTTGGTGGAGGATGAGACCCCCGCAGTAGCGACTACAGTGGTGGTGGCTGGACTGTCGCAGTCATGAGCAGCCACAGAGGCACCAGCAAGGCCGTCCTGCCTCAGCCAACCCCAGCCCGCTCTCTGGAACGGGTGCATTTGGTTTGCAGCCACAGCAACAGACCCGCTAGCCTGCGGCTCACCTGCCCACGTGGGAAATGGTGATCCTCTTGCTGGGCCGCACCTCGACCCCGTTCTTGTACCACTTGCCGGTCACCTTCTCGTCCGACACCTCACACTTGAACACGGCCTGCTCCGCAGCCTTTACCGTCAGGTCCGCGATGTCCTGCAGCACCTCAAGCTGTTTCTCTGAGCAGGGAGCATGGAGATGCAGCGTCACCACTCCGGCCGGGCCTCAGACCCCTGCAAGCGCCCTGTGCTGTGTGTGCTGAGTCCCGCTGGGGTGCTGGGGATGCAGGTGAGGGTGTGGGCAACCTGGAAACAGCCGCTCCCTGGGGCAGTCACGTCCCAGCGTGAGCAAGGAACCGCCATGAAAGGGAGTCAGGCGTGGAGGAGTCCACGTGGACACGGCGCATGCGTGCCTCGGCCCCGCTTGAGGCAGGGGCCACAGAAGGGGCTGGCAAGAGGAAGGAGGGCTTACATTCAGACGAGATCGGGTGCGTTCAAGTGGTGTGGCCGTAGATGAGAGCTTACGTTCAAATTTGTACTACTATTATATTTTTGGTTTGGTGTTTTGAGATTGAGTCTCACTGTTATTCAGGCTAGCCTTGAACTCATGGGGATCCTCCTGCCTCAGCCTCCCAAGTCCTGCCGTGATAGGTTTGCACCAACACACCTGGTGCAAATTATCATTTATCTTGTAAATAAGGCAATGCATTATTTTTTTTTCTTTTTTTAGACAGGGTCTCACTATGCGGTCCAGGCTGGCCTTGAAGTCCCTGTGTAGCCCAAGCTGGCCTCGAACACATGGTGATCCTCCTGCCTCAGCCTCCCGAGTGCTGGGATTCCAGGTGGGCTCCACCACGCCTAGCTAAATAAGGCGATGCTTTTACACAATTTAAAACATGATGATAAAAGAATTTAGATATATAGAGAAAGTTTCCCTTAGCCACACGGATCCCCACAGAGGCGGTGTTTGCCCGGCTGCTCTCTTGCGGATCGCAAGTCCTTCCTGGTGCAGCATCCTCACGCAGCCCGGGCACCATCTCGGCACTCTGAGTCCCCTCCACTGGCTTCCAGTTCCCAGCAAGGGCTGTGCAAGCCGTGCTGCGCTGCGGCACTCGGGGAAGCCCAGGAGAGGCCCCGAGGGCTCCCAGCCCACGCCGGCCGGTCCGGAGATGTGGAGCCCACTGTGTGTTCTCCCTGCCTCTCATTCTTTCTCTTTTTCCCTTTAAAACACAGCACATTTGTTTTGTCACCTAACAGTTCACCTTGGAAATCCTTCCAGATCAGTAAACTTAACATTTTCCTTTTTTTGTTGTTACCGGGGATCAAACTCAGCATATTGCTTGCAAAGCAGGTGGCAGAACCACTGAGCTAAATCCCTGGCCCCGACATTTTCCTTTTTTAAAGGCTGCACGTGGAAATGTGATCGTTCACTTGGTCCCCAAACCACCTGGGTTTGTTGTTTTCCTCTTCGCTTTTCATTTGTAGGAATTAGTAGCACACAGTGCAGAGTCCAGTGGGCCCTGCTCCCAGCCTCACTTCAGCGATCTCACAGAACTGGGGGCCACTGGTAGGTGCAGTGGTGCCCGCCTGTCATCGCAGTATTCAGGAGGCTGAGGCAGGAGAATCACTGCGAGCTCGAGGACAGCCTGGGCTACACAGTGAGTTCCTGGCCAGCGTGAATGACACGGCGAGGCCCAATCTCAGGAAACCAAAGATAATTAACAGGGCCAGAATCTAAGCCAGGACACCGACAGCGCAGGAACAGACCCTGCCGGGTTCGCCGTGCCTCCCCTGCCGACCCCGTGTCACCGAGGTCACTAACAGGCCCACGGTGAGATATGGGAGGTTACAGGGAGGAGGGTACAAGCAAGAGGGCACAGGTGACAGCAGCCTGGCCGGCCGCACCTTCCACGATGAGGTCAGCCTCGCACTGGCCGCCGTTGGTGACGACCTGGAAGCGGCCAGCATCCTCCAGCGTCACGTCTGAGTAGATGAGCACGTGCCGCCTGCCGTCCTTCTTGAAGCGGTACCGCGCCTTGTAGGACTCCTCCCGCGTCATTTCCACACCGTCCTTCATCCTGGGCAGGGGGCACAGAGCGAGGCACAGTGAGGGCCAGCACAGCCCCGCCCGGGGCCCTGACAGTGAGTCAGGGTGAGACCACAGGGATAGAGTGGACATCACGGGAGGGAGGTCAGGGGACACAAAGAGACCGTGGGAACTGGGTGTGGTGGCTCACACCTATGACCCCAGCACTCTGGGAGGTTGAAGCAGGAGGATCTCAAGTTTCATCCCAGCCTGGGCAAGTTGGCAATTTAATAAGAACCGGGAGCTGGGGATGTAACTCAGTGGTGCCCCACCTGCCTGGAAAGGGCAAGGTCCTGAGTTCAATCCCTGGTACAAAAAAGAATCTGTCCCAAAATTTAAAAAATAAAAATAAAGAGGTTGGGAAGGTAGCTCAGTGCACAGGCCCTGCATTCAACCCCTAGGACACCACACACACACACACACACACACACCACCACAGGGTCATGGGGAGAGGCCAGAGCAGGAGGAAGCCCGAGGGCCTGGGAGATGGAGGTGTTCAACATGGGGCTTCCGTGAGTGGGTGAGACACCCCAGTGGGACACCCCCTTCCTCCCTACCTCCTCATGTCACCTCCTCCGGGAAGCCCACCCAACCACCTGTGAGCCCCTTCCTCCTTTGAAAAGCAGATACTGCTAGATGGGACTGGGTGGGGAGTATGGGAGAGGGAGGGAGGGAGGGAGGATGAAGGAAGAATGAAGGGAAGGAGAAAGAGAGGGTGGGAGGGATGGAGAGGATAGGTGGGAAAAGAGTAAGGGATGATGGATGGCCAGATCAATGAAAGGAGGGACGGAGGGCAGGATGGGGG